TACGAATCAAATGTCGCAAATCAATTCCTGGCTTTTCCCTTAATTTTTAAGAGCGTGCACCAGGCATTCAAGCGCCAAAAGAACGTCAGTCGGGACATCCAGGATGGCGTGGCGGTTTTGGAAAGTGCGTTTTATACAATTTGTAGGAATCTGCGTTTTATCGCTGAACCGTTCAGGGATCAGGAGCCACGGACTCCAGCTGTAGGAACTCCAAGGCAAACGAGAAGTGCTGCTGCAACTTTGGATAGTGCAGCAGCTGCAGATTGTAATAAGGCAAAGAAGGTGAGCCAGCGCCCCAGGGAAGGCGGAAGCCCGAATAAGAGTCCACAACAAGCGACTCAAAGTGAAAAGAGGATTAAGCGAAAGGATGCTCCACAGCTTAATCCTGAGTCGCTAGTTGAAGCAAAAGAGGCGTCCTCAAGTAGTCCTAGTAAGTCGTATGCTGAGACCGTCTTGAAAGACGGAGCGGACAATGAGGACGGGTTTATGGTTGTTGAAAAGAGAAGGGAACGGGCTCCAAGAAAAAAGCCCCCAGGCAAGAAAAAAGAGCTCTCAAAACACCCTTTGAAGCTTAGAACCACGGAAGCGGTAAAGATTACGGCAAGAGACCCAAAATCTTATGAGGGTATCTTGCCGCTAATAAAATCAAAGGTTAAACCAGAAGACACTGGTACCGTGATTAAAAAAATCAGAAGAACCTTTAAACAGGAGGTTCTCCTGATAGTAAAAAAGGGTGAAAAGACCTTAAAATTTGCGGAGAGTCTGTCCTTGGCCCTGCATGGCGAGGCCGAGGTCATACCTCTAGTAAATAAGAGGTCTCTAGAAATCAAAGACCTGTATGAAGCCACTACAGAGAGTGAGGTGACTTCAGCATTGAAAGAAAAGCTGGGTAAATCCGACCTGACTATGGAGTGCAAATTATTGCCGCGCTACAGAGGAACTAAGGTTGCTCTAATCCGCTTGGCAGAAGCAGAAAGTGACATTCTGCTTAAACTTGACCGAATAAAAATCGGCTGGATAAATGCTCCAAGTCGCGAGCATGTTGAAGTAGCTAGGTGCCAAAAGTGCTAAGCCTACGGACACTCTACCCGAACCTGCAAAGGCCCCGACAGAAGCAAAAACTGTCGGAGATGCGGCGGAGAGAGCCTGCCCGGTTTACAGGGAAGAACTGCAAAAGATTAAAGGGGCAAATCCTTAAAATTTTTGCAGGTCAACCTGCATACAAGTAAGGATGCACAGTTGCTCCTATTGCAAACAGCAAGGGAAAATGAGGTCGATATCCTGTTCTGTAGTGAGCAGTATCAAGGAAGCGATCTCGCCCCTTGGTATCAGGATAAGGCGAAGAGAGCCGCCATAAAGCTGTGCAACCCAGAATTGGGTTCGAAGCCAATATCGAAGACCTAGAAGCGAGCCTCACAGAATCCAGGCTGGATGTCATCATCACTGGCGATTTTAACGCAAAGTCGCCAGAGTGGGATGAGACGAGACTGGACAAGAGAGGAATTCGTATTGGAGAAATGATCTCCAGAAACGACTTATTAGCTGTAAACCGAGGTAATACATGGACTTTTAGACGAGGTGCGATCGGATCAATTATAGATCTAACAATCGCATCGTCTAAACTATTTAGACGCATAACCGACTGGCGGGTCTCTGAGGAATATACCGCAAGTGATCACCAGTACATTAAGTTCTCAGTCTCGATGGGAGACACACGAGGAGGGAAAAGACAGGATGCTCCTAGTCGCAAAACCTCCTCGTGGAATATGAAGAGACTCGACAAGGAAAAGTTCGGCCAGTCCCTAAGAGAAGCCCTTTTAATTGAGAACTTGGGCTGGGTGAAGAGGCCAAGCAGTCTGGATAGGGATGTGCGAGCGGTGAGGAACATGATAGTCACCGCTTGCAATGCGTCAATGCCACGCAAAGGCGCCATTCCCGTAAGAAAATCCTTGCACTGGTGGTAAGAGGAGCTAGCCTCCTTGAGCAAGAAGGACATATAAGGGTACAGGAAGAAGGAAGGACATATCTAAGGGTCTTTCAGCAAGGGAGCTCCCTTGCTGAAAGAGGCTTTTAAGGAGGCGAAAAAGAACCTCAAGAAAGAGATCCGCAAGTCGCGACGCCGTAGCTGGAAGGACCTAATCGAGGAAGTCGATAAGGACCCATGGGGTCTGGCTTTTAAAATCGTTACTAAGAAATTAGCGACGAGGCAAAAGACCCCCGGCCTGGACAATCCCGATTGGGTCAGAAAGATAATAAATTCTTTATTTCCTCCTACAGAACCATACCTTAGAAGGGACTGGAGTTTTGCAAAGTCGAAGAGGAAGAACTCTTCACTCTTAGTGAACTACAAAAAGCAGGCAAAAGATTGAAAACAGGCAAGGCGCCTGGAATCGATGGGATAAGTAACGAGATCCTAAAGTTGGTTATCGACACTTCACCCCAGATTCTGCTTTGATGCTTCAATCTTTGCCTTGAGAGAGGAGAGACTGCGACTGGAAGCGACAGAGGTTAGTCCTCCTAAGGAAAGGTGAAAAACCTCTAGATAAGGTTTCATCGTACAGGCCTATATGCCTGTTGGATACGATGGGTAAACTCCTAGAGGATATGGTTCTGCAGAGAATGCAAAGCCACTTGACCGGAGAGAATAGTCTATCGGATCACCAATTTTGTTTCCGTAAAGGCAAGTCCACAGTTGATGCCATCCAGGCAGTTGTGGACATAGCCAAAGCAGGAAAAAACAAATTGGGACCTGGAAAAAAGAAGAGCTTCTGCGCGTTGGTAGCAATTGACATACGCAACGCGTTTAATTCCGCAAGATGGAAAGATCTCATCAAGTCAATGAAAAAGAAAAACATGTCGCCCTACTTGTTGCGGATAATGGATAATTATCTTAGCGACAGGTGGGTTATATATGAGGGAGACACCTGCACTCTTAAGAAAGAGATGCAGTGTGGGACTCCTCAAGGCTCGAGGGTGGGTCCATTTGTATGGAATGTATTTTACGATGATTTTCTGCGAATGGATCTACCCGAAGGTGCGGTGATCATCGGCTTTGCGGACGACGCGTTGTTTGTGTGCACTGCCGAAAGTGAGGAGGCTCTTGGGACATTTATGAACGAATGTCTGCGACTAGCAAAAAGCTGGCTGGATACCAGAGGTCTTGAAATGGCCCTGGAAAAGACCGAGGCACTGCTGGTCACAGACAGACGTGGTTATGAGCTCCCACGAATCGTGATAGACGGATTCGAGGTCAAGTGGAGTAAGCAAATTAAATATCTTGGTATGGAGTTGGATGGCAGGTTAAACTTCCACCACCACATGGCTACGGCGTCAAATAAGGCGATCGAGTGTGCGGCTAATTTTTCACGGTTAATGCCGAACGTAGGCGGACCCCGTGAACAAAAACGGAGACTGGTGGCGAGTGTCGCCCACGGTAAAATGCTCTATGCAGCACCAGCGTGGGCCCCATCCCTGAGCAGTAAAAGATGTGTGACCATCTGTGAAAAGGTACTGTCGGCGCAGAGATCGATAACAACGCGTGTCATCTCTGCATATAAGACGGTATCTACGAGTGCTGTGCAGGTCCTTGCAAGTGACCCGCCAGCAAATCTTTTGGCGAGGGAAAGGGAAGAAATGTTTCTCTTTTCTAAAGAAAGAAGTTCCTTGGATGAGGAAATAAGACCAAGCAAGGGCCTGATCCGCAAAGAAGCGAGGCACAGGCTCATAGAAAGATGGCAAGATAGATGGGATGGTGAGGAAAAAGGTCGATGGACTTATCGCCTTATCCCGGCACTCGCCGTCTGGATTAATAGGAAACACGGTCAGGTTTCCTATTATCTGACTCAGGCGCTCACAGGTCACGGGTGTTTTAACTCGTACCTGTGTCGCTTTAAATTACGCGAGAACGAGGTGTGTGCATATTGCCAGTTCCCTGAGGACAACGCGGAGCACACCCTCTTCTCATGCAAGAAATGGGACTTGGAGAGGCAGGCCATGTTCGAAGGTGTAAACAGTCAAGTTACACCAGAGAACATGGTATCGCTGATGACCCAGTCAGAAGAGAATTGGCGGCAAGTCGAGAACTTCATAATCTCGGTTATGTCGAGGAAGGACCTCGACGGCCGCCAAAAAAGCGTAATTTAAACAGCTTTTAAATTTGTTTGTTCGTTTCTTATTAATTTATTTTGTGATTTATTTGTCCTTATACAATTTTAATTCTTTATGTGATTTATTTGTCCTTATACATTTTTTTAAATATGTTTTATGTTTGTATTTGTCTTTATACAGTTTTATGTTTTCAATATTATATATGCGTTTATTTTATTTTTTTTTAAATCCGTTTACAATTTTATCTTTTGACTTTTTACACTTAATTAAACATTTTTTTTTCATTATTATTATTATTGTTGTGCTGTTAATTCCGCTTTTATATTGAAATAGTTTTAAATTTTTAACTATTAACGCAGGAGAACCGCAGAGAAAAGCAGAAAGTCGCATTAGCGACAGAGTTGGAGCGCCACCCTCGAAGGCTAAAGTCTTACGACAGTTCCGAGGGAGGGTAAAGGGCTCCAAAAGAAGGGTTAAGGGTTTTAGTGGGTAGGGCTGGCAGTAGGTCGAGAGTTTATTAAATTTACTATTTTATATATTTATTTTTCATTTTTTATACTTCCTTTTGTTTTATCATACCAACCCCACATAACCTTGGAGTGCGGAATCCAAGGTATCTGTAGGCAGATTTCCCAAAATCCCTAAGCAAAAAAAAAATAATAATAATAAAATCTTAGTTAAGACAATAAATTTATAACTTACTTACTGAGTACAACACTTTGTGAGCTCTGGCTGTACATAAAAAAATTGAGATCTAGAATTTTTCTTTCTATTTTCATGTAATTATTTAGCAAAATTGTGACTTTGGAAAAATATTTTGTTAATTAGGAAAAGAAATGCTTCTTTCTTATCTAATGTAGCATTTTTTTCTTGTGGGGGAATTTTCTTAACAGAAGGCTGGGGTGTCGTTTGCGGGGATGGATGGTCCCTTTTGGAAGCGGGCGTGATATGTCGTCAACTTGGACTGGGCTACGCAGCAGAGGCAATCGAGAAGAATTTTTTTGGGGGACGAAAATTTCCTATGGTCATTAGTGGCATTGAGTGTCAAGGCAATGAAAGGAATTTAGCTGAATGCCTACACGACAAGGTTGTAGATTGTCCAGGTACAATCTGATTGTACAATACATGTATATTATCACAAAAAAATTTTCTTTTTAGCTAAGAATTATTTTTTATTTTTAAATATCATTTTTTAGCTAAAATTTGTTTGTATATTTTTTGTCATTTAAAAATAATAATGAAATATTAATGAAAAAATTTAGTAACTAGCGATTTGTATAAAAGAAATTCATTCTGTTCATAAAGAAAAATTTTATTAATTTTTTAATTTAATAAATAATTAGTCATTTTTTACAGTAATAACACAGTTTTTCTGCGGACATAGAATTGAGATAAAAACGAATAAAAACGTTGCTTCGCAACACTTTTACTTCGTTTTTTATCTCAATGTGATAAATTTATGGAAAAAAGTAGTAATTCTCTAAATTAATAAGTAAGAAACTGATAATTTGTCAATGAATAAATAAATTAATAATTTAAAAGAATTATGGAATTAATTCATTAACAGTTTATAAATAACTAAATTAATAATGTGGAAAATAATAAATTAATTATTAATTTAGAAATTATTAAATTTGACGCGCTGCCTAGAAAGATGCCTAAGAAGCAAACGAATTATAGGTTATGTTTGCTTTAGATTTACATTGATTAAAAGTTCCTCTTTAATTACGTAAACTTGAAACCACCTTTTAATGAATATTTTAGATGTAATGAAAACTTTAATATTAATATTTTGTAATAGCAATTGATTCTTTTTCTGTAATTTTATTTCAAACATTTATTGGCTGTTTTCGGCACTCGCCCCGAGTTAACTCCGGGTTAATGGTGATTGGTTAGACCAACAGAATGTTTTTGATGATTGGATAATTTTTAACTCGGGTGAGTACCGAAAACAGCCATTGCGAGCGCATTACAAATTAATCAATTATTACTTATCAATTAATAAATATAAATAAATTAATAATTTCTAAATTAACTAATAAATAATTTAAAGGTAAATAATTTCTAAATTAACTAATAAATAATTTAAAGGTAAATAATTTCTAAATTAACTAATAAATAATTTAAAGGTAAATAATTTAATTTACTATTGAAAAAAAGAAAGAAAAACTGTAGTTTTAAAATAAGAATAAATTTTTATTTTTCCCTATGAATAGTGAATTTTCCTTTTAATTTGAAACAAATTTTGATTGAAGGTCCGGGAGAGAATGTCGCAGGTGTTGTTTGCACGCGAGAAATAGCGGATCTCGTTTTTGATCATATTGAATTGATGAGAACTGCTCATTTGGAGGACAGACCTCTTTATTGGTTACAGTGTGCAATGGAGGAAAATTGTGTTGCATCGCGTGCATATAAAATACAACGGGAATCAGATACATGGCATTTGGAGACAAGAAGACTTTTACGATTCACGGCAAGAACATTAAATGCTGGTAATGCTGATTTTCGTCCATCAATTCCAAAACATCTCTGGGAATGGCACATGTGTCACATGTTAGTAAGTTTACCGCATTGGAAATACAGTAATTTCGACAGAGAAAAATAAAAAAAAGTTCTTTCAATTTTCAAAATTTTTAAATAAAAAAGTTATGAATTATAAATATAAATTTAGAAATATACCCAGTTGTGCAATTTTTGCAAGCTCGACGCAAGCTTACTGAAAAATTTCAAAACTTGCAAAATAAGCTTGCAGCAAGGTTGCTGTAAGATTACGTGCCATCTGGGTATAAATATGAATTACACGGGAAAAAAAGATATTGTTGTCACAACCATAAAAATATGGCTGGTCACAATATTGCTGAGGCATCCATATATATGGCTAGAGAAGCTTTTAGTATGGAAGCATATTTACAAAACAGAATGGTTGTGGCAACCATATAATTTTGTTACGTTTGATTTATATAAATGTTTGTTTTTGTGTAATGTAATTGTTTTATGGATTTTTGTAATCTTGATAGTTTCTTTAGCACAAAATGTGATAAAGCAATTTCATTACTCATAGAATCGCTAACCGAAAATGTATTTAAAATTAATATTTTTGACGTGTCCTTTAATTTTTCTTTAACTGAAAAGCGAGGTGTTCTCTTTTTCAACCAAATTTCAAGGCGTACCTACTTTTTTCACTAATTGTAAGCCAGCGATATACAAATTTGTGTACACTAAATAGATAATGGTTGCAGCATCAATTAAAAATGGTTGTCACATCCATTTTAACTTTAAGGTCCTTAAAATGTAATGCAATTAGTCTCGGGTTAAAAAAATTTTTTTGCAATTGTTTAAACAAATATAAAAAAAAATTGTTTTTAATGAAATTATACTTTTTTATGACGAAAATGATTATAGGTATTTTCGCTTAAAATCAGTAATTTGAATGAAAAACTTTAAACACATTTTACTCGAAAAGTTGAGTTTGGTCATAAGGTCCCTTTTCTCAGACGCGGTCACATACATATAATATAATATAGCAAAAGAGAAATAAAAGAAATTATATTAAGACATAAATGAAATAATACAAAAATATCAAAAGAAAATATAATACAAATTTCTAGCAAATATCAAAACAAGAAAGTAAAATAAAAGGAAAAAAATAAATTACTGCAAAAGAAACTTAAGGGCAGATGGCAGAAAAAATGGTTTCGTGATCGACGTCGCTTTTAAAAAGAAAAGAATATTTTGAGTCGGGATTTTTTGGAAAATATAGAGAAACGCTCTGGGACTCGCGCCTTTCTCGGAATTTTGCAAAATTTTGATATAATAGTTATTGAAAAAATTGATTAAACATTCGGAAAAGGGGGTTTTGAACGGTTTTAAGTTCACGTCTTATTCTGAGCACGGTGGTCTTGAAACATTTTAAATACTTTTGACACATGCCATTTCTAATTTTTCCATAAAACGTTTCCACACCACCTACAGAATTGATTTTAACTTAAATCAAAATCGCGTATTAGGCCGATTTTTTTTAAACGTTTTTTAGAAGTTATGGAGGGGGAAGAAAAATAAAAAACTTATTTTTTTCTGAAAGAACTTAACCGATTTGAATAGAATTTAAATATGTTATGAATATAGGTATAAGAAAATTCAAAAAAAATTTTTCAAATTTTTTTTTTTAAAAAATTTTAAAGAAATTAATTTTTAAATTTAAAAAAAATTTTTTTTGATTTTTTTAATGATACACCTCCAATTTTTGTTTTAAGAAATACCTTATAGTTTCCTCTTTAATATATATATATATATATATTTTTCAGATTTTAAAAAAATGTAATTTTTCCAAAAAACGACTTTTTTGAAAAAAAAACTTTAAAAACTCATTTTTAACGGAAACTACTTAAAAAATTTTTAATTAATTAATTTAGAATTATTTTTTTAAACTGTCTTATTTATGTTTATAACACATTTCAATTTCATTTAAATTAGTTAAGTAGTTTCTGATAGAATGAGTTTTTCATGGTTTGTTCAAAAAAGTAGTTTTTTTGAAAAAACTACATTTTTCAAAAATCTGTAAAAAGTACACTGTAAAAAATTCAGGGAGTTAACGGACTCGGGAGTTGGGAGTGAAATTTTTCGAGTTAAAAATCAACTCCAAAAGAGAGTTAATTTACTAACTCCCTTCATCAACACCCGCGCGAGTTATTTATTCCTTGGGGAGTTAGCATTTGGGTGTGAAGTATTTAACTCTCTTTATTTAACTCCCCAATGGGTGCGACTTTTATAGAATCCCCTGGGGAGTTAAAATTTAACTCCCTTTTTTTACAGTATATATACACTCGGGTCGTAAAGTTTCAGTACATTTGGACTGACTACATTTGAATGCTCGCTTCACTTTAAACTCAAATATTTCAGTAAAAATTGATGTAAAAGCTATCAAATTAGGATCATTTTAAAGTTTAATAAATTTAGAGTCAAATGGGCAAAGATATAAACAATTTAATCATGTAAATATGTAAATATAGTCCTTTATAGTAAGAGATTTTTTGTGAAAATTTCATTTTTGAAATCTTGAGTTCAAGTCAATGCCAATTGAAGAAAATTTTTTTTTTTAGAATTGTCAGTTCACCAATATGTAGTAAAAATCCTACTCTTTAATTCTAAACCAAAATCATTAACAAATATTTGGTATTTTTTTCAAATTCTATCAAAATAATTTCTCTTGCTCTCTAAATTTCTCAAAGGATATAAATTGCAAATTCGTCGATTCGTTCATTTATTTTATCAATTAACCACACTTTTGGAAAAATTTATAACCTTTGATACAAGCTCGAAAAACTATTAGCCAGAATGCCTCGAACTTGTCAAGCTGTAATTAATGCAAAAGGCGGTTATTTTTATGAAAAAAAATCTAGTTGCAATTATATTTTTTAGCAAATTGAATAGACTTATTAACTCCTGGATTTTATTGTAATTAAATATAATAAGTAATTATAATACTAATATTTAAGCTAGTAAATTATTCAATAACTACGAAAAAAACTTAAATTAGATAGTTATAATAATTATTACTAATTATTATTATATTATATTTCATTATTTTATATTATAATGTTATAATAATAATAATTATTATTATTATATTGCATAGTTATAATCTTGTAACAATCAAAGGTTATATATTTTTCCAAAAGTGTGGTTAATCCCGTGTGGAAAAATTTTAGGGCGCTGACCAAGCGCTTAATAGACTGTCTAACGTCTTTCTAGACCCAGGGCAGACGGTCTTGTCGAGCGGCTGTTCAGAATTGAAACGAAACTTCCACGCTATCGTCTAGAATAGACCAGCGTTTCTGGTCTGATCAGCAGTGCTAGTAAATTCTAATCTACGTCTATTCAAAATTTCTCATTATATGTTATGACAACTATTCTTAGAATGATAAAACTTAATTATATTTGAAATAATTTTGATGACTTTTTTTTACATAAAAAGTATAAAAAAATATTTTAACTTTCTGTATTTTTCACTTCAACTTTCTTTAAGCGTAAGGCTTTGTGTCTCTCCCAATCTTTGGCATTGGAGATATAGTAGTCTTTTTGTAAAATAAAATTTACTGCAAATCAAAACAGCCGGATGAAACTAGCAGTCGTACTCAGCACCAATCTTTAGGCGTCAACCACTAATTAATGAAATTAATAAATAAAAACTTACTAAATTTACTATTTAGTGGATATTGATTCCCAAATAACAATACTCGATGGTTTTTTAAATCATTAAGTATTACAAAATTTGAAGGAGAGGCATATTGGTAGATGACGCCTAAACATTGATGCTGAGTACGACTGCTAGCTTCAGCCGACTAGTCAAAACACATAGAAACACATCAAAATCTATTTTTTCAGGGCACATTTAAAATTAAATTATACAGAAAACAACAACAACATAGCACATTATTATTCACGTAAAACAGAAACCACAACAAATACTATAATTCACAAACAAAATGCATCACACACTGACTGATCTAACGACGCCAAACGACTGCCACAATATTTTTCCACACGGGATTGATAAAACAAATGAACGAATCGACGAATTTGCAATTTATATCCTTTGAGAAATTTAGAGAGCAAGAGAAATTATTTTGATAGAATTTGAAAAAAATACCAAATATTTGTTAATGATTTTGGTTTAGAATTAAAGAATGGGATTTTTACTACATATTGGTGAACTGACAATTCTCAAAAAAAAATTTTCTTCAATTGGCATTGACTTGAACTCAAGATTTCAAAAATGAAATTTTCACAAAAAATCTCTTACTATAAAGGACTATATTTACATATTTACATGATTAAATTGTTTATATCTTTGCCCATTTGACACTAAATTTATTAAACTTTAAAATGATCCTAATTTGATAGCTTTTACATCAATTTTTACTGAAATATTTGAGTTTAAAGTGAAGCGAGCATTCAAATGTAGTCAGTCCAAATGTACTGAAACTTTACGACCGGAGTGTATTAAAGAGGGAACTTTAAAAAAATTTTTAAAAACAGAAATTGGAGATGTAACTAAAAATTTCGAAATAAATAGATCCCATCGTTTGCCTACGATCGGACAAGGCTTAAAAATTGTTAATTTAGTGCTAGTTTCTTACAAAAAATTTTGAAAAAAATTGATCGATACATACATTGTTAAAAATGAAATTTTATTTTAAAAATTTTAAAATCTTATTGTAAATTATTTTTAAAAATATTTTTATTAAAGACTACGCGTGAAAACAAAACTTTTCATTATAAAAACGTCCAATTTGATCAATTTTTGACCAAGTTATAAGCATTTAAAAAAAAATTTACGTACAAAAAGGTCATTTTTCAAAAATCTGTATCTCCTGAACCGCTTTATGAAAAAATTTGAAAAAAATCAAGGTAGTTCATTTCAAAGAGTACTAAAAGAAAAAAAATGTTTAAAAAAAATTTGAGATGCAAAAGCAAAATGATTTCCGATTTGGGCTGGAATGCACCATATAGCTTTCAAAAAATACAATAAAAAAGAAATTAATTTTTTTGACTGCTACAATGAGAACCTCCCCTTAAACTAATTTTTATTTAATAAATAAACTATAAGAAAAACAATCTTCGCAAAAGATACTAAAAATAAAGAAGTAAAATAAAAACAGTAAAGCGAAAGTCTAATAAAAACTTAAATTATTAATAAGAACATAATTATTTACCATAGAACTCAAATTACACGTAACATTGTCTCGTCAATTCACTGGTTTTGATTCTTGTTTACGAGAGAATTTTCATGATATCTAGATGAAAACTTCTGGAATTATAATGGCGCGAAATTCAAATTTAACCAAACGACAAAAAATGTACAATCTTGTGTTAATAAAAAATATAGCACAAAAAAGCAAAAAATGTTTATATAAAAAGAAATAAAAAGCTAATTAAAGAAAGGAAAGTATTATAAATAAAGCTTACCGAAAAGTTACGTGCTATCTGGGTCATAGAATTATTATGGCGCAAAATTCAAATTTAACTAAACGGCAAAAAGTGTATGAAGTAAAAAAAATTTTTGATTTCTCAAAATTTAAATAAAATTGGAAGAAAATCGATTTTTTCAAGAGTAGCAGCCGGAGAACCTCCTTAAAATACTGTTTGAGTATTAAAGTTTGAAGCTTGAAAATTATTTTTATATTCACTTGAAATAATATTGGTCAAATCTTGGTAATATTGCTCTTAAGATTGGTCCAATCTTTAAGCACTAATTTTTTATTACTGTAAATAATATTGTGATTAATATTGTATTTTTAATGTTTTGTCAAAGTCAAATATATTGAATTTATTTCCCCAAATGATGAAAGATTTATTTATTTTTTTATTAAACTTTACCATTTTTTTTCAAGGCATTATCATTCCATGGAGGTGTTTGCGACCTTTGATATAATTGACTCTCATGGCAGACGAGTTGCGGAGGGTCATAAAGCATCCTTTTGTCTCGAAGACAATCAATGTATGCCAGGGGTTCAACAAAAGTAAATATTGATTTTCAAATTCGAATACAATAGTTCCGATTTTTTTTTCTTTTTGCTTTAGTATCGAATTACTTTTATAAAAAAGTAACTAACATTTTTTTATGCAATCAGCACTTCATCGAAAAAAGTAAATTATCAAAAAATAAGTAATCAAAATACAAAAATTGTAAATATTTTTTTTTAAATAAAAATTAGAATTTTTGTTTTGTAAATCTTTTTTATTATGTGTAAGGTTAAACAAAACTTTTTACTTTTTATATGTGATGTAAAATATTTTCTCAAAAAAATAATTTATTTCTTCTTAGAAATAAACCATTTACCCCAAAAAATAAACATAATTTATAAAAAAATTTAGTTTCTTGGTATAAATGATTTTAATTTGTAAATTATCACAAAAATTATTAATTTCTTGTAAAAATTGTTTTAAATTATAAAAAAAAAATTTCATAAATTTTTAATAGAAAAATATTACTTTCAGATATAAATGTGCAAATTATGGCGATCAAGGAGTTTCAGTAAATTGCAGTGACGTTTACAAGTATAATATTGACTGTCAGTGGGTTGATATTACCGAATTGGAACCCGGACTTTATACTTTCAAGGTATACGAATGCTAAAGTAAATCAAAACTTTAAAAAATTCAAAAAGCAGTTTTGAAGCATTATTATAAAAAAATTATTCATGACTTTATTAAAAATTCTCAACAGTTTTAAACTTCTTTTCTAACTGTATTTACTTTTCATTAGAATATTAAAGAAAGTAAAATATTTTCCTTCCTTTTTACAGAAATATCTAGTAATAATTTATTAATAAAAAATCTAGTTACTAATTTTCTATAGTTATAAAAAAAATATTGATTAATTTTATTAAATTTTATTAAAACTTGTTAAGTTTATTATAAAGAAAAAATTGTTTTATACTTCATTATCAATTATTAACATTAATATAAATGGACTAACAAATTTTTCATGTCATTATCAAGAAAAGCTTTACATTTTAGTCATTTATTTAAAAAATGTTTATCACAATTTTGTTTACAAAATTCGTAAAAGAAGAATAGTTTTTGCATAATTTCAAATAACAATCTTTTAATAAAATTCTGTTTTCTGGGGGAAAAAGAAAATAATTTACATCATTTTTATCTCTCTTATTACAATTTTTCAACAAAATTTCAAGTCTTTTCAGAACTAAAGAAGGAAAAAAATTTGTATAAATCACATTTTTTTAATAGCTATTTCTATATTTGTCTCAAAAAATTCAAATTAAAAATTAAGCAATTAGTAAATATTATATTGAGGAAGCTAAATGGTCATGAAATGAACAACTTGTTTATTTGTTAAACACGCTTTTTAACAAAATTATAATTTTTTTGGAAATAAATGAAAAAATTTACATAATTTCTGTTTTATAATTACACTTTATGTAAAAAATTATCAGTTGTTTTTTTTTTGTAAAAAGAAAATCAATTTGCATCATTTACATTTCTCAGTCACAATATTTTAAGAAATTTACAGTACCTATCTGTTAGAAATAAGTAAAAACAAGTTGTGTAATTTCTTCTTCTTCATCACAATTTTTTAACAATATGTCAAGTATTCTTTTAAAAAGAGTTAAGAAATTTGTATAATTACTATTTTTTAATCACGATTTTTAACATAAATTCCATTTTATAATCACACAATGTTTGTAAAAAGTTTTTTTTAAGAAAATATTAACTTATGTTACGTGACACTATTTAATTAAAAATTAAGAAAAGATATATAAATATAATAGTAATTAAAAATTAAATAATTCATTTTTTAAGCTAAATAATAATTATCCGCAAATCGCAATTTAAAATTAAAAATTAAATTTCCCAGTAAAAAAAAACTAATTCAAATGAATTGAAACGAATTAACATTTTTGGTAGGCTCCAATTCGTATTTGTCACAAAGCGGGATTCACTCAAGCTCTTTGTATATTCAATTGAATTTAATTCAATATGTACCAATTTGTCCAAACGAATTCGCATTCGAAAGAAATGGCCAAGGAATGCATTGAATTCGTGCTAACGAATTGAAAAAAATTAAAGGCTCAAAACTTGTCCAGTGAATTGGTACGGATAGAAGGTTCGGAAGTTCAATACAGTTTCACGAATTCAGGAAAATTGCATCATGGCTCCAATTCGTATTTGTCACAAAGCGGGATTCACGAAAGCTCTTTGTGAATTCTTTTTAATTCATTTCAATTAGTTTTCGTTTACTGGGTTGTAAAAACTCACCTCTCTCTTTTCTCCAAGTTTCGTCAATATTCGTTTCAGAAATCTGAAAATAAAAATTACCATTTTTACTAGGTATTTATGATTAAAAGGACAAATTACTAAATAGTGATAACTAATTGAATAACTAATTTGATTACTAATATTACTGATCATACTCCTAAAGTTAGAGTTGAAAACTTAAAAACTATTATTTCGGGTTTAGAGAGATGAAAATGTCACTAATTTTACATTTTTTTCCCTAGGGAGTTAAATAAATGTTCAGGAAACTTTTTAAATCTGAAACCTTAAAAATAATGTTTTAACTTTTCATTTTAGCGAAAAAGATATTTTTCGGCGCTAACTTCAGGGACCTTACTAATCCCTCAAATCAATAATAAAAGGACTTAAATTTTTTAATTAAGGGGTAACACCACTCTAGAGGCAGAAAAAAGACCTATATTTGATCTATTTTTGGAAAAATGGAGAAAGGAATAGGATTTTTTTAGAGAGTTTACTAAATACATATTGAAGTGTAAAAAATGTTTTTATTTAAATTTTACTACAAAATGAAGGCGACAGATGACATATATTCAAATCAGGGACCGTCTCGAAAGTTTAGTTTCGTTTTAGTGTTTGAGTTGACACGAAACTAAATTAACAAAGTGACTTTAGTTTCAAGTCGACACGAAACTAAATTAACAAACTGAGTTTAGTTTTGTGTCGACCCGAAACTAAATTAACAAATTAGATTTAGTTTCGTGACGACTCAAAACAAAAGATTGAAAAACATAATTATTTAGTGTCAATCATAGAAAAATTGTTTCCCCTGACTTACGTAACTAGAGCAACGTAAGTAATTAATGTAAGTTATGTAACCAGAGTAAATTACGTAACTATAGTAATTTACATAATTAAAGGAAGTTACGTAACTAGAATAACTTACGCAATTAATCAAACTCACGTAAGTTACGAAACTAGAATAACTTACGCAATTAATCAAACTTACGTAAGTTTGATTATTTATACAAATAAAGTAAATTTTACCATTTTACGTAAGTTACGTAACTTACGTAAGTTTGACTAATTGTACAAATGAAGTAAATTTGACCATTTTACGTAAGCTACGTAACTTACGTAAGTTTGACTAATTGTACAAATGAAGTAATTTTGACCATTTTACGTAAGTTACGTAAAATAAAATAAAATAGTTTTGTCCACAAATTTTTTCAATTTTGTAATAAAATTTTTTTCCCTATAATTTAAGTGTTTATGACACATTTTAATGTTATCTGAGAATTACAATCTAAAATAAGATCCATTAGCAACAAATATCAGTAAAAAAAAGTTCTAAAATTGGAAGTTCTATCTTAAAAACAATTTTTTTTTTGTAAAAATGTGAAGTTCACAAAAAAAGAGGTCAGTACCGTGGTATTACTATTCTTTTAATCTAAACACTCTCTGTGGTAATTATTACGATTGTTTTGAAGATTATATTAGAAACAAATTATCTGCCCAAAGAAAAGATTTATTTTGCAAAATTGTCGGAGTTAGGTTAGTTTAAATGTCAAATGTTAGCTTCGTGGTGTCACATAAAATGTCAGTTCCGTGGCGCCTGTGGCGTACAGTGTGAAGGTGCAAATTCATGGATCAACAGTTGCTACAACGACACATATTATAAAAGAGGACAGACATCCCAGTAAACAAAAAATAATTGAAATAAATTAAAAAGAATTCACAAAGAGTTTCAGTGAATCCCGCTTTGTGACAAATACGAATTGGAGCTATGTTGCAATTTTCCTGAATTCGTCAAACTGTATTGAACTTCCAAACCTTCTATTATATTCTTACTAATTCAATGGACAAGTTTTGGGGCCTTTAATTTTTTTTAATTCGTCAGCACGAATTCAATGCATGCCTTGGTCATTTCTTACGAATGCGAATTCGTTTGCACAACTTCAGGCAAATTGAATCGAATTCAATCGAATATACAAAGAGCTTGAATGAATTCCGCTATCTACCAAAAATCTTAATTCATTTCAATCCGTTTGAATTAGTTTTTTTTACTGGGATAGTTGTGTCCTCTTATATTTCAGTGCTTCGGCAACCGTTGACTCATTAAAAAACACCTAAATATTCGAAAAAAAGCCTTTACTTTTGGTGCTTAATTTAAAATGTCTTTATGTCAACCAATAAGCAGAAGCACAGTATTACTGTTGATCGTAACGCTCTTATTGGTGAATACTTTTCTGAAATTAGTTTTATGCGCTAATTTCATTATTATGTAAATGAAATTCTCTCGTTATGTCAAGCTGATAGTAAATATTTTTGCAGGGGCTATTTTGTGCATTAAAATGATTTTTTAACTCAATGCTTTATTTAAATTTAGAATTAAAAGAAAATCAACTTTTGACATATGTTATGGACTTCCTTCTGAAGGTTTCCTATGAGTTAGGCAATGAAATAAATTTTTTTGTCGGAGTTGTAGTCATTAAAAGTTGTGCACAAAATAGACCCCGGGATGGGGCTACTTTGTGCATCGAACTTTGTTTTTTTTAAAAAATGTTGTAAATATTATACAACAAAATGTAAAATAAAACACTAAGATATTTTTCAAAAACTTGAAATTAATATTTTAAGGTTAAATGAATAACAATTTAATATCCAATACACTTTTCAAGTTATTAGAGAAACGAGAGAAATAGTTTTAAAACTAATTTGAAAAACTTATAAATATTAATTAAAGTTAATTTTTTGCCGTTATGTTGCTCACCGGTTGAGGTTTTAATCGTTTTAAGGATTTTAATTAACTTATTTATGGTTTTTTGACAAAGAAGTTCTTTTTAATAATTTTATTTATTAAATACCTCGCGTACATAAAATAGCCCCAGTTGACGGCAGTATAATTCAATGCATAGGGGCCGTTCAAAAAATACGTAACGCTATTTTTTGAAATTTAGACCCCCCCTCCCCCCATGTAACGCAATGTTGTATACATTAGCGACATTTTTTCTGCTGACCATAACAAATAGCTTGACCCCCCCCTCCCCCAAAAAGCGTTACGTATTTTTTGAACGGCCCCATAGGGTGGTCAGCTCCGTGGCAGTCAATTTTCGAAAATTTGTTACAATTTTTTTATAATTATAGCTGTAGTAAAACCGTTCAAATTACAACTATATTATGCCCTAATGATAAGGAAAACTGATGTTTAACATTAAAAAAAAATTTTTTTTCTTTTAAAACTGATTTTGAAATTGCACAGTTACGTGAAAATCACCCAATAAACATACGGATTTTTTAATTGGATGTAAATTTTATTTTTTAAATGAAACAATTTACTGTTTATTTTTTTGGCAAAAAATCTATTATTTTACTCAAAAAGTGCACGGAAAAAATAAATTTAGCAGATTTTACAAAACTGTTACGAAGTAGCGGATACAGCTTATAACGAAACTGAGTTTTGTAAAATGTAAGGAATATTTTAGGATAAAGTACAGAAATCTCGTAGTTTATACTGAATAGTATTAAAGTTTATCCTGAAATATTCCTTACATTTTATAAAACTCAGTTTCGTAATAATAACCTGTATCCGCTACTCCGTAAAAGTTTCGTAAAATCTGCTAAATTTATTTTTTCCGTGTGCGCCATTTTTACAAAAATTGATATAAAAAATCCCGTACGTACTTCCAAAGGTAATAGCTAATTAACCCTTATCGAATTCTTCTTTTTTTAATTACGGAATTTTATTTTGTTTGACTTGCTCACATTCTATGATTAAGTACACTTTGAGACGAATTTGTTGGGATTTAATTTGAGTATGAAAAGCCCAATCAGAAATAGAAAGTAAAATGTGTTCACGATTCTCTGGTTTTTTACGCTGATTTCAACCCCCTACGACCTTCCTTTCCGTCTCAACTCTTAATTCATATGAAGAGAGAGAAAAATTCTGAACGAAAGCTTGTCAATAACTGCTTTTGTATTTTCGTTCTTTTATTTTGATTCTATTTTTTTTTGTATTGCAGGTTGCTGTCAATCCTGAATTTAAAGTGGGTGAAATGTCGTTCGACAATAATGCCGCTGTTTGCCAACTTCTCTACACCGAAACCTTCGCTTCTGTTCACAGTTGCGTTATGGCTCGACCATAGAATTTAAATCAATATAATATGTAATTAATGAAAATTTACTAATTTTACTAATTAAATTAATTCAATTTATTATAGTGTTGCACTAAAACGAATACGAGAGGCTTTATTTTGACAATAAACGTTTTTGAAAAATTAACTGTTTGTAAATTATTTTGGATATCAACCCACTGTTAATTTTAAAGCATCAAAGTGCAATAAATTGATACCAAAAATATGGATTACATCATAAATTGGTATTGATCCAAATTTTTGGTATTAACTTGATCCACTTTGTTATTAATTCCAGGCTTCGCACTTATCTACTAAAACCTACTATTTACTACTTTTTTACGTTATTCTACTATTTGGGTACTTTTTTTAGATTTCAGACACTAAAAGCTACTATTTCCGTTTTTTTAGAATTTACTCTCTTTAAATTCGCTAATACTAGAAATCAAAAAACTTTTCTCAAAAATTATAATCAAATTCTTTAAAACATTTGAATTATTTTTAAAAAATTTTCGAAATTTAATTATTTTCAATATCTAGTATTTTCATAAAATTTCGCAAAAGTATTCAATTATTTAAAAAAAAATTAATCAAATTCATCCAAAATTCAATTATTTTCAAAAATAATAAAATTTCCACAAGAATGGAATTATTTAAAATAAAATTTTCATAATATTTATTATAATTCGAAAAAATTTATTATTTAAAGTAATTTATAATTTTCTTATTAAAAAGAAAATTCTTATAAAGAATTAAATTATTTTCAAAAATAACAAAATTTTTCTTTTTAAACATTTTAATAAAATTTTTCGCAATAATTCAATTATTTTCAAAAATAATAAAATTCTCCCCAGGAGTTTAATTATTTTTGAAAATTTTAATAAAATTCTTAGCAATAATTCAATTATTTTCATAAATAATAAAATTCATCGCAGGATTTCAATTATTTTTAACACAATTTTACAGGAATTGCTCGAAAAATGTAGTTATTCTTAAAAAAATTTAATTTCAATTCCTCGAAAAAATCAATTATTTAAAAAATGTTTTTTTAAAATTCTTTGAAAGAATTTAATTATTTACAAAAATATTAGAATTTTTCAGAGGAATTCAATTGTTTTCAAATATTTTAATAAAATTGTTCGAAAGAAATCAATTATTTTAAATACAATTTTAATTAAATTTTTTTGAAATAATTCAATTATTCATTTAGATTTAAAGAAAATTCTTCCCAAGAATTCAATTATTTACATAACTAATTCTTCGAAAGAATTCAATTATGTCGATAAATATCAAAAAATTGCTACGAATCGAATGTCGCAAATCAGTTCCTGGCTATTCCCGGAATTTTTAAGAGCGTGCACCAGGCATTTAAGCGCCAAAAGAACGTCAGTCGTGACATCCAGGATGGCGTGGCGGTTTTGGAGAGTGCGTTCTATACAATTTGTAGGAATCTGCGCCTTATCCCTGAACCGTTCAGGGATCAGGAGCCATGGACTCCAGCTGTAGGAACTCCAAGGCAAACGAGGAGTGCTGCTGCAACTTTGGATAGTGCAGCAGCTGCAGATTGTAATAAGGCAAAGAAGGTGAGCAAGCGCCCCAGGGAAGGCGGAAGCCCGAATAAGAGTCCACAACAAGCGACTCAAAGTGAAAAGAGGATTAAGCGAAAGGATGCTCCACAGCTTAATCCTGAGTCGCTAGTTAAAGCAAAAGAGGCGTCCTCAAGTAGTCCTAGTAAGTCGTATGCCGAGACCGTCTTAAAAGACGGAGCGGACAATGAGGACGGCTTTAAGGTTGTTGGAAAGAGAAGGGAACGGGCTCCAAGAAAAAAGCCCCCAGGCGAGAAAAAAGAGCTCTCAAAACACCCTTTGAAGCTTAGAACCACGGAAGCGGTAAAGATCACGGCAAGAGACCCAAAATCTTATGAGGGTATCTTGCCGCTAATAAAATCAAAGGTTAAACCAGACGACACTGGTACCGAGATTTATAAAATCAGGAGAACCTTTAAACAGGAGGTTCTTGTGATAGTGAAAAAGGGTGGAGATACCTTGAAGTTTGCGGAAGCACTGTCCTCGGCTCTGCATGGCACCTTGCCATGCGAGGTCACTGCTTTCGTAAATAAAAGGTCTCTGGAGATCAAGGAGCTGGATGAAACCACGACGGAGGATGAGGTGATTTCAGTTCTAAGAGATAAGCTGGGCAAACCTGATCTGAAGATAGAGTGCCACCTTTTGACGCGCTTTAGAAGTACTAAGGTCGCTCTGGTCCGCCTGGCTGAGGCAGAGAGTAACATTCTGCTACAGCTTGGGAGGATAAAAATCGGCTGGATAAACGCTCCAATTCGTGAGCATGTTGAAGTGACTAGGTGCAAAAAGTGCCTAGGTTACGGACATCGAACCCTAACCTGTAAAGGCCCCGACAGAAGTAAAAACTGTCGGAGATGCGGCGGTGAGGGACACCTCGCGAAGAGCTGTGTCGTTAAGCCGAAGTGCCTTACTTGCTTGGACCTGGGGAAGCCAGAAACGGATCATGAGTCCGAAAAGAGAGCCTGCCCGGTTTACTGGGAAGAACTGCAAAAGATTAAAAGGGCAAATCCTTAAAATTTTTGCAGGTCAACCTGCATACAAGTAAGGATGCACAGTTGCTCCTATTGCTAACAGCAAGGGAAAATGAGGTCAATATCCTGTTCTGCAGTGAGCAGTATCAAGGAAGCGACCTCGCCCCTTGGTATCATGATAAGGCGAAGAGTGCCGCCATAAAGCTGTGCAACCCAGAATTGCGGGTTGACAAGTTTCTGGAGACGAGCAGTGGGTTCGTGTGGATAGAGGTGGCTAATATACGTATGTATAGCTGTTACTTTTCACTGGATGCCATCATCACTGGCGATTTTAACGCAAAGTCGCCAGAGTGGGGTGAGACGAGACTCGACAAGAGAGGAATTCGTATTGGAGAAATGATCTCCAGAAACGACTTATTAGCTGTAAACCGAGGTAATACATGGACTTTTAGACGAGGTGCGATCGGATCAATTATAGATCTAACAATCGCATCGTCTAAACTATTTAGCCGCATAACCGACTGGCGGGTCTCTGAGGAATATACCGCAAGTGACCACCAGTACATTGAGTTCTCAGTCTCGATGGGAGACACACGAGGAGGAAAAAGACAGGATGTTCCTAGTCGCAAAACCTCCTCGTGGAATATGAAGAGACTCGACAAGGAAAAGTTCGGCCGGTCCCTAAGCGAAGCCCTTTTAATTGAGGACTTGGGCTGGGTGAAGAGGCCGAGCAGTCTGGATAGGGAGGTGCGAGCGGTGAGGAACATGATAGTCACCGCTTGCAATGCGTCAATGCCACGCAAAGGCGCCATTCCCGTAAGAAAATCCTTGCACTGGTGATCAGAGGAGCTAGCCTCCTTGAGGAAGGAATGCCTCAAAGCAAGAAGGACATATACCCGATCTAAGGGAGATCCCTTGCTGGAAGAGGCTTTCAAGGAGGCGAAAAAGAACCTCAAGAAAGAGATCTGCAAGTCGCGACGTCGTAGCTGGAAGGACCTAATCGAGGAAGTCGATAAGGACCCATGGGGTCTGGCTTTTAAAATCGTTACTAAGAAATTAGCGACGAGGCAAAAGACCCCCGGCCTGTCAATCCCGATTGGGTCAGAAAGATAATAAATTCTTTGTTTCCTCCTGCAGAACCATACCTTAGAAGGGACTAGAGTTTTTGCAAAGTCGAAGAGGAAGAACTGTTCACACTTAGTGAACTACAAAAAGCAGGCAAAAGATTGAAAACAGACAAGGCGCCTGGAATCGATGGAATAAGTAACGAGATCCTAAAGTTGGTTATCGACACTTCACCCCAGATTCTGATTCGATACTTCAATCTTTGCCTTGAGAGAGGAGAGTTCTTCCGCGACTGGAAACGACAGAGGTTAGTCCTCCTAAGGAAAAGTGAAAAACCTCTAGATAAGGTTTCATCGTACAGGCCTATATGCCTGTTGGATACGATGGGTAAACTTCTAGAGAATATGGTTCTGCAGAGAATGCAAAGCCACTTGACCGGAGAGAATAGTCTATTGGATCACCAATTTGGTTTCCGTAAAGGCAAGTCCACAGTTGATGCCATTCAGGCAGTTGTGGACATAGCCAAAGCAGGAAAAAACAAATTGGGATCTGGAAAAAAGAAGAGCTTCTGATCGTTGGTAGCAATTGACATACGCAACGCGTTTAATTCCGCCAGATGGAAAGATCTCATCGAGTCGATGAAAAAGAAAAACATGCCGCCCTACTTGTTGCGGATAATGGATAATTATCTTGCGACAGGTGGGTTATATATGAGGGAGACACCTGCACTCTCAAGAAAGAGATGCAGTGTGGGGCTCCTTAAGGCTCGAAGGTGGGTCCATTTGTATGGAATGTATCTTATGATGATTTTCTGCGAATAGATCTACCCGAAGGTGCGGTGATCATCGGCTTTGCGGACGACGCGTTGTTCGTGTGCACTGTCGAAAGTGAGGAGGCTCTTGGGACATTGGTGAACGAATGTCTGCGACTAGCAAAAAGCTGGCTTGATACCAGAGGTCTTGAAATGGCTCTGGAAAAGACCGAGGCACTGCTGGTCACAGACAGACGTGGTTATGAGCTCCTACGAATCGTGATAGACGGATTCGAGGTCAAGTGGAGTAAGCAAATTAGATATCTTAGTGTGGAGTTGGATGGAAGGTTTAACTTCCACCACCACATGGCTACGGCGTCAAATAAGGCGATCGAGTGAGCGGCTAATCTTTCACGGTTAATGCCGAACGTAGGCGGACCCCGTGAACAAAAACGGAGACTGGTGGCGAGTGTCGCCCACGCTAAAATGCTCTATGCAGCACCAGCGTGGGCCCCATCCCTGAGCAGTAAAAGATGTGTGACCATCTGTGAAAAGGTACTGTCGGCGCAGAGATCGATAACAACGCGTATCATCTCTGCATATAAGACGGTATCTACGAGTGCTGTGCAGGTCCTTGCAAGTGTCCCGCCAGCAGATCTTTTGGCGAAGGAAAGGGAAGAAATGTTTTTTTTTCTAAAGAAAGAAGTTCCTTGGATGAGGAAATAAGACCAAGCAAGGGCCTGATCCGCAAAGAAGCTGGTACTTACGTAGCAGAACC